AGTATAAAGTTGTAAGATACAAGTATCAATACGCGAAAGACGCGGGGTAAAACCCGGGGGTGGCCCCCCATTTTTTACTACAACAGCAACTAGGAAAATAATGAGTAAAACATCAACACGCAGAATATTTTGATTAAACTCTGAAAATCATATCAAAATAAAACTTGTATAATAATAACATGAACAATCCGTCAATCCGTCCAACTTGATTGCTAAATGCTCGATCTTTCTATTAATGCCCGTCTGATTCAGGTTAGAACCACTCAACCACGGATGAAATAATAATATATCACGAAAGTCACAAGTGAAAAATAGAAAAGAATCAGTGCGAGCTTCACGCCTAACACGAACAACAATCCACAAAGCACACAAAAGATTCGATGCTCTAATAAAACGCCAATGAATATAATGCCATGGTGTTATAATGCTACAAAGTTTGAAGTTATCAGCCAAGGAATATTCAGACCAGAAAGAAATGATGCAGTTATTTTCATGCCACAACTTCAAAGCTTTATAAAGCGCTGCCATTGATGGCAAAAGTGCAAATAAAATTAGCGGTCGACGTGATAGGTTTTGACAAAGCCTTCTCGGCCGTGCCGGCTCATAGGCAAAATTTATTACTAGAATAGCAGCAAATAATTCGTTATGACGAGAGTTTAACGACTATCCTTCATTCAGCTCAAGTTTTGGCGTTTAGTGAGCAGGATTGAAGTTCTATCTTCACCGAAATTTTAATTTGGCCAGGAAAAATTAAAAAAAAAAAGAAACTCCCCGACAGGATAAACGATCATTCACAAGGCACAGAAGCCAGGAATTTGAATGAATCTGGACGATTCCTTATAAATATTCTGATATTAAGTAAACATTGAGTTAATTCAATGCTTTATCTTGGTTGAAATGAAAGGATTTCAACATTTAAAACGGTACTTGAATTCTCAAATAAGTTTCCTCACTGAGTTCAAGCAACAACACAATTTTCTGAAATTACATCATAATCGATATCGCGATGATGCTGCGGTGTGAAAAAAGCAGCGAAATACTCAACACGAAACACACGTATCCAATTTAAGTACTTCTTCTTTGATGAATTGCTTTCAATCAATATTTCCAATATTTTTTTACAAGTTCAGAGAGACATCAGATAACAAGTTAGGTGTTCATCTGTAACAAAGGTTAGCAAAAGAATACCGAAGAAGTATCACAATAGTCCCATAAATTGAGCAACGTTAGGTAAGAGAACTAGAAGTGAAGACTTAATTTGAACTCCAAGGTGAAAATGTGCAAGATCCTGTCAAGTTCGGAACGTGTTTACAACTTGAGCAGCGACTTTACAGGCGAGGATCAAACAAGTAGGATTGCTGGCTTGAGTTATTGAAGAACTTTGCTTTTAAATACTGCAATTAATACCATCGATACTTATTAGTAAACTCGTATTATAGATTTATTACTCACTATTATTAATGAGCCACCAATGTTGAGTGCTGATAAAACTAATAAACTTTTTGCAGGATTGCATAATAGTTGAAATGTATCAGACGTCATTGCACTGTCAGAACTGTGTAATGAACAGTAGGAGCGTTATCTGATGAAGAGTTAACCTCATAATCTGAATAAGACACGATTAAATGAAACATTTTCGGATAAACATCTTTACACTAATAGATATTATGAATCTTAAGGCACATGCAATCGACCACAAGCCACAACAGAAAAACTAAACCTGGAGCGAGAGATGAGAGGCTCATTATCAACGATAAGTCATGGATCAGCAGGAGGCAGGAAGACTTGAAAGCGCAGTTACGAAACTAATTCTTGCACGTCTTACAGTCCCATTTCAGTTACAGTTGTCATATTAATGTAAAATCACAATCCGGTCAATAGTAGACCTAGAATTAGTTATTCACAACACGCAAGAAGAAATACTGTAATCTATACTTGAACGGCTATCCTCCATCCAACACGCACAAATAAACAAAAAGAAGATAACCTCACCAGCGGAATGCACAGTAATTAAGTGACTCATCTTCATTGATATGCATCTGGAATAAGTGCTCTTTAAAATTACTGATGAGGAACTAAATTTGGAGAACAATTCCATGTCATTAACAAAATGATAATAAGGTAGCGAGAAAACCTCATCACAAACACAGGGATGCTGCTGATCACAATAACTAATGTAGGCAGCAAAGGTGTAATAAGAAAAAATTCATAATGTCACATTAGCACACATATTAATGAGGCATGATATACAAAAAGTGATTTCTTGTACGTATGAGTAGCCTGTAGCAAAGAGCTCACCAACTGAAGGCCTAAAGCCATATCTTTACGTCTAGAATTCGATATTTTCAACAAAGCTCACGTTCAATAATCTAAGTTCTACGATAAAGGCACTTATTGTCGGCACATTTAGGAGCTTTGGATTTTAAAATTTATTCTTTCCCAATGCGACAACAAATGTAATCAAAACATAATATTATTTAATTCAGTCATAATGAGAATTTAATTCACTACCTATATGAGAACCACTCAAGACCCAAAAATATTGAAAAATTTGAACAACAAACAATTCAAAATCAATATATATACTGTATATATTCAATCTCGGAACAATGTCGAGCGATCTCATGTCTCGGAACAATTGAATGCGTCTCTCTGCCTGAGATCAAGTCGGCACGAAAACGACAGAATTTGACTACGTTTGGAGAACGCATTGCACTCTTCGTCCTAGCATAATATCTAAGCGGTAAATATATATATCACAATTAAGTACATACAAACAATCTTCAGAAAAAGTTGTACGCAAAAAGTCGTGACAGAAACACGAATATAAACTTTTTAAATGACGTGACAGTAACACACAACACACGCACAAGAACAAAAAACTAATGCATTTCACAGCGCTACAACTCGTCGCTCTTTACCGAGTTTTTTTCTTTTATTTGATCTTCGTCTGGTATTGACGTGTCTTCGTGTAGCCTTGACGAGGCAGGTCTCGTACGGGCATTTGTTGAATCGTCTTCCAGCCTCGTCGAGTCTTCATTCGGATTTGCTGCATCAGCATTCGGATTTACTGCGTCGGCATTTGAATTTGCAGCGTCGGCATTTGAATTTGCAGCCTCGGCATTCGGATTTGCTGCGTCGGCATTTGGATTTACTGCGTCGGCATTTGGATTTGCAGCCTCGACATTTGGATTTGCAGCCTCGACATTTGGATTTGCAGCCTCTACATTCGAATTTGCAGCCTCCGTATTAGTACGTGTCGCCTCGGCATTCGGATGAGAAGCTTTGACATTCAGATTTCCGAAGTCGGCATTCGGATTTAATGGGTCCGCGTTTAGACTTGCAGTTTCAACTTCAAGGCCACCCGTGTCAGGGCCTCCGCGAGATTCCTCGTCAGCCGAAGGTTTGGAAGATGTTTCGTCGCGACGAGGCTCGGTGTGGGGCGGTTCTGGCGCCCCTGGCAGCACGTCACCATCTCCGTCGTCCTCAGCGCCGTCGTCGGCCGGCGACTCGAGCAAGTCCTCTCCCAATAACTGTGCAAGTTTATTCAATATTACAATTCATGTTAAATCATGATATCTAGTTATGACAGTGATGATGAAGAGCATTGAAGAATGTTCTTTAAGCGAGCCATCGCGGCAGTTTGAATAAAAATTGTAGTTCTTGTATTTAATTGCACATTCATATTACAAACATCATCATAAGCTTTCATTAGTCTTCGGCTTATCATTATAGTAGTTTTCATTTGATTTAGTCAGCAAATCAAAACAGACATTAAAAGAATTCTGAATTAATCGCACAACTTCAAAATATAAACAAATTTTAAATTATTCTTATATGCAAACCATAACAAATGCTACAAACGAAAAATACTTTGAAATCATGACAGCTAAAGTAAAATACGTTTCTGTTTTCAGAATTATCAATACCTTAGCACAGGTGACCGGTAACGGGTATAAGACAAAGAAAATAATGGACAGAAATATGTAGATAATATGTAGAACTGACTTGCGTCTGGTCGAATATTTCATGCTGCAGGAGGCCGTACTCATCGGCGTCGTGCAGCAAGTCACACACCAGCCCCGTCTCGACCCCCAAGATGTAGTGGCACGGCTGGGGCTCGATCAGGTACATGGCCACGGTGCCCACACCAAGGCTGCAAGCGGACCTTACATTAAATTCTTTCTCGGAGAAGCACAGAGACATCGTAAAATTTCTATTTTGATAAAAATCCAAACACATGCCACGTTGACATCGTCCAAACGACAGCTATTTCATTTGAACAAGTATGTCATGCAATCGTGACACTTATGATAACGCTTAGGGCAGAAACAGCACTATAAATCTACTCACAAAACCTCAGCCTTTGGGTAAGAATAGTTCTCATTCTAAATTGAGCCAATAAGATAGACTCGAACAAACTCAAACAGATGAATTACGAAAGTAAAGACGCTAAATCAATTGCAAGTACTTCAATTTATCTAGTTTATTTCATCTTATCAAACATGTGCACGGCCGAGAGGCAAACACGAATCTTAGCTCCGTAAGGAATCGTGAAGACAAAATGACACGTGAGAATCCTACACTGTCCTTTCTCGGTGCAGGGAATGAATACTGGCACGCTAAAAATTACTCCTCATACTAGTCCACAAATACCAGGCAGTTTTACATTTTTTTAAGAACAAACTATTTTGGAAGGAAGAGATACTGAATAGTATGAGAATGAGAGCAGGGTTTAGCCAGTAACTGTAATAGATGTCAAACCATGGAGATATTGTTAGTGCACTAACCCTCCTCGGCGCATGTATTTTCAATGCAAAAGGCAAGGAATATTCCTGCATGTAATACCTAAAGGCACGGTATGTTCCTGCATGTAATACCTTTGGCTGGGCGGGTAGCACTTGAGGCGAACCTCGGTGACCCGCGGTTTGCCTGTCACGTCGCACACGGCGCCGTCCGAGTACAGGTGCGTCACTTGGTACGCGTTGGGGGCTTTTTTCGGGTGCTGGCGACAACCAAGTAAACATCGTTAAACTTACGGTGCAGGGATTGATCACGCAAGTTTGCACTTGACTATAATCAATGGTTATTATTAAAATGAGAATTAAAGTAAAGGAAAAAAACTCCAAAATATGGAGCTTGTTCTACAAAAGCTAGTTCAAAAAGGTAGATTTTAGCCTATGACATAATCGTAACAATTGATTTAAAGGTTAAATAATATACGTTTAAAAATTACTTTTTAAAGAAAACACTTCCAAAGAATCCAGTGTCTCCAATCTTAAAGATGTACCATGAATTTCTCATATAATTTTCGAATATTAAAAAAATTAATTTTTCAATTTTTCTACTATATAAATTTTTTTTAATATATAAATTTTTTTCAAAATTATTTATTCTGTTAATTGATTCATGCATTGCCTCTGACTTCACACAAGTGTGCAAAATTTCAGATCAATTGGACAGGTAAAAGTGTGTCAAATATCAGTTATCAGATTTATAGCTGACAAAATTATTTTTTCAATTTTTTAATATTGAAAAAAAAAAATTACATTTTAAAAATCATTTATTTTGACATTTGATTCATGCATTGTCTCCAACTTTAAACAGGTGTGCAAAATTTCAGATCGATAGGATAAGTAGAAGTGTATTAAATTTCGATTACAAGATTTGTAGCAGACAGACAGACAGACAGACAGACAAACAAGAAGTGAAGTTAAAGAGAAGTGTTGTAAAAATGGCATCTTTTGTTGAGCCCATTAAAGTGTTTGAACTTTCGAAGTTAAAAACAATTTGAAACCTTGAATTGGGAGCTACCTCTGTTCGTGAGACATGACCTTGATAGATATAAAGATGAAGAGTAGGTTTTAAAAGTTATTCACGTGAAGGGCAGTCAAATGCATTCAGAGATGTATTTTAAATGCCTCAGTTGTTAATACATATATATTTAAATTCATCACAGCATTACAATTTTATTATATATTATGTTCCAGTGAATTATTGCGCAAAACTCTTTCATATTGGGCTTTAGTTTATAGTTCAAACGCTCGTAGTTACCGAAACTACTCTCTTTCTGTACTCTTATTACAATTCGAATTCTTTCATATACACATCTTCACTAATCTCATGTTATTTCTCACCTTCTTCCTTGATCCTTCTTTACACAATATAGTACACGATTCCTCAGCCCTACCCACCCTTACACCCTTCTTGAATATATCAAACAGTTTGCTTTGGCAGAAGCGAGGTACCTCACCTTCTTGATCCACTCGATGTGCTTGGGAGCACTGAAGGTGCCGAGCAAGATGGTGATGCGAGAGCCATCTTTGTTTTCGTGGAACTGCGTCACGTGACGTCCGTAGCAGAACTCGTAGTGCCACCAGCCGATGCCCTGAAAAATAAAGATTTTTTTTAATGGTGCAACTTTGACAAATAATGCACTGAATTATGTTCAGAATGATTACCTAAAGTTAAAGATAGGCAAATATTTTTGAGTAATTGACATTTTGACGATCGAAATTTTTGAACCGGTGAGATTAAAACACTAACGTAATTTTTTGCAAAAAGCCAACTGAAACACAGAAAATATGCCTACTCCGAGCAATGGACAATGACCCCTTAGAATACATGTATAGGAATTAAACAAAAAACTGTTTTTAAAAGATTTACAGACAATCCTCCATGAAACAAGAACTGGAGTATTTTTTCAGGTATAAGAAATTGAGGAGAATTTATCATAGGCTTTAAAACCTATTTGTTCTCTTCATGAAATGAATACCTAAAATCTTTTTATTACACCTATAAAATTAGCTTAAAATCAGATTATATATTTCTGACATCATGAGTATATTTCAGGTTCCCTGCAAAACCTTAGCTGGCTAAAAGGACTGCACTGAGCCTGTTTTAGGCAAGATCCATAGCCGCATTTAATACTTAAACTAAGTCCAATTTCTCACCCCATCCAGACAGTTTTCACCCGTGAGGAAGCTCTTCACAGCCGACTGGTCACGGGTTAATGGTCGTGGGGGAAATGGTTTGCTATTCCTGGATGATGACGTTTCCTTATCGAAACCGTCCCCGCTTTCATCGTCATCATCGTCGTCCTCGTCATCATCAGTCTCCTGGTCGTCGTGATTCTCGTCCAAAAGCGTTGCTGGGACATTGGCGAGATCAGCATCGATCTTGCCGAGTGCCATGGCACCGCTCTCAGGAGAGCCCGACAGCTGAAAACATTAATGAACATAACATCAAATACTGGGTACTATAGATTACTAAGCAAACTATAATATAATTCGAGTCTCGTTTAGTGCTTTTTTAGAGGAAAAGATTGTGGTACCTATGGAGAAGGATAAGCATTGAAAGCATTGGAGGACACAAATGTTACTTGCGCCTCCAACGCACTAAAGCTGCTAAGAAACTAGCAGCTTTTAAGTTTCATCTAAAAAAATGAGCGAAAAATAAAGATATACGAAAATATGATTGCTAGCACAGGAAATTGGGCGCACGATCGTTAGAGGTAGGGGAAGGAAGTGCAGGGTATCCCAGCCTACGTAGCAACTTGAGCCCATAATTGAGACCAGCAGAACCTCCACGAGCTCAGTGGAAGAGCGCTCTAGCGTAATGCTTGTGGGAGTGCAGAAAAGGCTATTGATTAGCATGTTGCCCGCGATAGCACCCACCGGGGGCAAAAATATCAGTAATAGTTACACGAGTTCGTAACTCCGCTAGCCAATCACAAGCGGCTTTTCAAGCTAAAGCCACCAACAAAATATTGACCACAGACGAGAAATCTGCCGCCCAGGTTACTTGGGCCACTGCTTGTACTCCGCGAGTTTTGATGGTACGGCCCCTAGGCAACAGCACCAATGCAAGCTCTACAATTGCCACTATGATGGACAGCAGCATCATGGCATAACATTAGCATTCGGTATTGCAGGTGAAGTGACAATGTTAAAGATAACCTTTGTCTCAGGCATGGTCTTGAGCTTGAGGCTATGGGCCTCAATCCTGAGCAGCTCCTTGGGCCGCCGAGCTCCGGCCGCTGTCGGCACGCAGTGGATCGGTATTTCCGGCTTTTCCTTCTTCCTGCTCGCCACAAGAAAAAATTTTAATTAAATTATGGTACTTTCATTATTTCGCAGTAAAAATTGACTTAATATACTAAGTTATTATACTAAGACTAATAGTCTAATACTAATATACTAATACACTAATACTAATATACTAAGTTAATTCAAAAATGATTTCAATTCAAACGCTTTCACAAGCATTTTGCCCTAAATTATCTTTCTACAGCAACATGGGACGTTGTCAATGAGGTGTGTAGGTGATTCATTTCTGAGGTTAGTACCTAACCGCACAACCCACTATTTGAGCTGCTATTAATGCACAGGTTAATAATAACATGTAAATGTATAACGCGAAATTGCTTTTTAACTTATGGAAAAGTTCCTCTTTACTCTGAAAAATAGATAATAAGTAGCTAGTAACTCGAATCGTAGTTCGTTTCAGTTAACATAATTAAGAAGAAAAAATTCGTCGATAGTTGCAGCGCACTGACGTGTAGAGAGGATGCTGACACAGCACGTCTGTGAGGACGATGATCTCGTACTCGCACGTGGCCGTCTCCTTGACAGAGTACACGTCGTGACGACCGTGCTCGTAGCACACGTACAGCACGTCCGTCACTCTTGGCTTGCCCGTCAGCTCGCATATTGACCCGTCTGCAAAACATCCGCATGTACAAGTGCCATACAAATACAACCATCGTAAATTACTGTAACTGCAACGCATCAAAATGTACACACTTAAATTGAAGTTTTTAATGCTATGTTAAATCACAGTTTGTTAGGTGCTGCTATCTTTACTGCTGACACCACTTCATAGAACATTCATCAAATAATAATATTTTTACTAACTTTCAATATTTTAGATGATTGTAGATACAATTATTGAAATGTTAAACTCTTAAATAAGACTTTTACAGCATTTTCAAATACATTGGAAATCACAAAAACTCAAGTTAACGTAAAATTGAAGGACTCAAAAGTGTTGGTTAGTTAGAAACTAACCTTGACCACTATAATGTTAACATCACTACACAAGTAAATATAAATTATTAAACTTGCGTTAGGCGTCAGGTAATATCATGCTGTGGTCTTCGCGTCTAGAATAGTAGGACTAAAGTGCATCAATTTATTGTATCGTAGGTAGCAAGCGGCGTGCCTGATACCTTACCGCGTCGTCACGGCGCTCTACACTACATTATGCACTTCAAGAAGCATACAAATTGCACTTCAATTGCACTTCAAGAAGCATACATGGGATTCATACAAATTGTGATCTCAAGTGTTGATTATGTTTTTCATTGTTCCCTGTTGCCAAACCAATGAAGTATTCTTCGTGCCGCCATTTTCTCATCGGTCTATACTTAAGAAAAATTAGAGTCATCATAACAAACCCTACTTAATTCTTCTGTGATGTCTCTGATTTGACTATTTTATTAAAAAAATGTAAATAAGACCGTGCAAGTACCTATTAAATAAAAAAATTACCTCCCAACAGAATTTTTATAAAGACCGAAGAACAAAATAGCATGGCTCAAATGAGAGGATGAAGTGAGTTGACAAAGCATTGCAATAAGTAATGATATTCTAACAATCTAAAAGGAGAGGTGAGGTCAAAGAACCTGCATATCGTATGGGGTAGTAAGGCACATCCGTTCCTTCCACTTTGGTTTCAGAAACCTCTCTTGCAGTAGGTGATGATGCTGCATCTTCTGCTTTGGCATCAGCTTCTGCAAATGATAAAAATTTTTTATTTAAAAATCAGAATTTTAACTACTTTATTTATATTTTTTTACACAGCAAATGAAATTGATTGAGCATTGACTTTAGATAATTGGGTAGCCTAATTTCTCTTAACTAATTTGAACTGAACATTAACACTTGAGATTGCATAGTGTATAAAGCAAGCTGTACTAACCAAGCTGCTGTAGTTGAGCAGGAGTAATACGACCTAAGGTGTACTGTTGGTCTATGACTTTTTTGCCTCTGTTTTCTTGCTCCTTGTGGTACTGCACAATTTTGCCCCCATGGCAAACTTCATAGCTCCAGTATGATTCAATCTACAAATAGGTTAAGCAATTATGATAAAGGCATTCAAAACAATACTAAAAACGCTTTACTAAAACCATAGTATAATTTCACCAAACATAGCTAAATATTGATAGAAATAAGACCATAGAAACAGTTAAAATTTAATCTCAAATAAAATGCAAAGCACAATTGTCATAGTCAAACCTAGAGTTCTAGTGACATGATAATAAAAATCTGGAAAAATTACTACAATAAATTAGGATCAACTTATTGATGTCCACAGGAATATCTGGACTTGGAAACAGTATGCATTAATGATTTTTGATAAACATGACCTTGGAGATACTTCATAAATAGATAATGACATAAAATGCTGAAAACAGCCTTATAGGATCATGATGTCTGTTAAGTAATTATAAAAAAGTTTTGTGATGCATGTACCTTGTAGGAGCAGGATTTCTGTCTCAATGCAGGCATGAGCAATGAAAGTGCTTGAGGCCCTTTGTAAGATTGGCTCCCATCCTGAGCTTACAGAAGGAGAAAATTACAAATCCTGCACACTTTTTTCATGTTGAGGCATTAAAAACAAACATGAGTAACAAAGCAATCATTAATAATGAAATCTATGAGAGATGAATGGATCATTTTTCTTCAGTTCACAACTCAACACCTATTTTGACCAGTGAGAAACTAACTTCCTTGAATATAAATGTCAGATATATAAATACACCTTGTCATTTCCTATCATTTAAAAAATACTTAGTGGAGAGATTAACATTTCTTCATTTCATTAAGGTATAAAATTTACCTCCACTTCTCCATAGCTTATTGGAAAGTGGCATTGGAATTCTTCCTGATCAGCAGACACCAATCTCAATTTCTCATAATCAGGAGATCCCTGAAAAACATGAAAAGAGTAAATAAAATTCATTTTGAATAAACCTAAACATCATCACTAAAGGCAAATTAGTAAACCTAGGCTATTTGTTGATCAAATGATGTATTATATATATCACACAAGCTTTACAGGTCTACTCTACTCTGAGACTAGAAGTGGAAGAATCTGAAAAAGTACCAGCTCTGCCAGTGACATTATGTCAATCTAGATTTGATCTTGATGGTTAAGAAGTAGGTATCAACTATCAGTGAGAATTTGACTATTAGCATTTCTTCAAGTTTATACAAACAGTGACAAAAATATTTCACATTTCAAATTGGTACCTAATTATTGGTCAATCACTAATCACTAATTAATTTTTTTTATTTAATAGGGGTTTCAGCATTTATTAGGCCGTACTCGTAGGCCTGTTGCCGATTCTTAACATCACAGAAAATCCACAGCTTGTTGCATGCTCAAACACGCAACTCACTGCTACAATTCTGCTGTGCTTATTTCAGTTAACTGCCCGGCCTCCTTGCCAGTTGCCAATTCTGACCAGAAACTGGCACACAGAGCTGGGCCTGGGATCAAACCCATGCCTCTCTGCTCCAATCCTGGTACTATGAGTATGAAGTCTTAGTCTGAATTTTAACCACTGGGCCACCCTGCAGTCCCTGCCCAGTAGGCTAGGGTCACTAGTTTTATTCACTAGTCAGTACTCACTCAGTAGTTGTATATTCAAGTGAATCATATGGTTCATTGGTATTTATTATGCTTTATATATTGCATAATTGCTATTTATGCATACTAAGTTTTTGAGTTCATTAAGAAGAAATAATATCCGTAAGGACCATAACATTATTAATTTATTATTAAAATTGAATTAAGTCTTTACTGAAAAACTCACCAGTAATTCAGGTTTAGAACCGTATCCAGGCCAATCCAATGAAAATAAGATTGAATCGTCGAAATTCTTGAAGTGATTTGCGGCAGAAAAACAAATAAAGTTCATCAACGACCAAATATATAATTTATGAGACATTTTGTTTCAGTCTCTCAACGGGATTACACGAACAGCTGACGCGACATAAACATACAGTGGTGGTATTGCCAGAAATGAGCGAAGCAAACCATGAGCAACGTCGTGAAGTGAGGCAACTGATGGGGGAACTTCTGTATTCATAAAAATCATCGTATAGCTAAAATTGCAGTAAAATTGTACTTCGAATAACTGAATGACGCAATTTAAAATAATCGTCGATTTTAAATAATCGTCAACTAACTCTTGAAAGCCAAATGAAAAGACCCAAATGATACAAGAAGAAAATTTTTAGTTAATTACAAGGTGGAAACATTCATGGGGACGTAGTACAAGTCTGAAGGTTTTTTTTACCTCTATTCCTCTTCATCCTTGTTGGCCACATTAACGTTGCTAACTGGTATATTTCTATACCAGATTTCACAAATCTGGTATTTTCAGACGTTGTCTGGCATGAATATTTTCAACCTGGTATATTTGCCTAAATTTGGTATTTTCTGACTTGCTGCAAATTTACTGCATTATTAAGTTCAACCTCTGAAGTTTGAACTTCCCCCAGCGCAGGCATGGATTATGTAGATAAACAAAGCGGCGCGACTAGCGGTTTCACGCCAATTTTGAAACATCGAGATTACCGCTTGATGGCATAAAAACAATCTGATTGTAAAACATTTAACAAAAGTGCTTAGTGCATTATAAACACAAAAGTGATTATTCTTGATTGATTACAGATCAGTGATGATATGGACTATGACGAGTGACTTTATCAAACCGATTTCTGCGACGCAAGTTCCACTATTTTTGTTTGGGGGTTTTGAATTTTGGAGTGCCACTTATTGGAGTATCATATGAATTCTAGGGTCACAGTGGGGTGCCATTCAATATTTCACCAAACTTGATAATCATCAGCCATTCATGGAACTGGCTGACTACTGAAACACTTTTTTACTTTTACCGGTCTCAAATGCATTCGTGGAGCGAGTGTTTTCACAAGTCACTATGTGAAAAACTAGTGATGAAATAGAATTTCAAATAAAGTACTGGAGTCCGTTATTCGGACCAAAAGCTATCAGCTGCTCAGCCGCAACAAGCAAGCATTTACGAAAATAAAATGTATAAAAAAATTTTTTAAAGACCACGTTTTTCATGTGGACTCAAAAGTAGAAAATAATTTTTCGGCAGCTACTGATCTCTGTTTGCTTTCATTCTCTTGGTCTTTTGTATTTCAGTTAAAATATTTTACAACATCTAAAACGAAAAACGTGAGGCGCATATGTATTTAATTGTTTGGTGATTACTTATGAATATGATGGTTCATTGAACATTTGATAAGTGTATTGCTGATATAATTAGAAATAGGGGTTGAATTCAAAATTGAAATTAAGGCATGCCTAAATGGAGATGCGCCTCACGTTTTTCGTTTTAGATGTTGTAAAATATTTTAACTGAAATACAAAAGACCAAGGGAATGAAAGCAAACAGAGATCAGTAGCTGCCGAAAAATTATTTTCTACTTTTGAGTCCACATGAAAAACGTGGTCTTTAAAAAATTTTTTTATACATTTTATTTTCTACTTTTTAGTTTTTTAAGTATTTTATTTTCTCATTTTTAGTCCGTTGCTACACACGAAACACGTTGTTGCGAGCCAATTTACTTGACTTGATGTACGTATCGATGATACGAAGCGCATCATCGATATACGCAGTCTAAACACGAATATCCTCTCGAGGATGACGTGCATTAAAGGTTCCAACCCCTGCTTGTGAGTTCCTTTTTAGAGTTTATACGCCAGGAAACGTGCAACAAATTATTGATTATTGTATTGTTATCGGGAGCTGAGCTTCCCTAAAAGTTTCAGAGCGCTAGCTAATGGGAAAGTTGGTGAAATATCGATTGAAAGATTTGATCATCACAGACACGAAAGCGAGCTAAGAAAAACGTAGTAATAAGCAGGTGAAAGATGACCTGCTTCCGTGGCTTGCTCATCTTGATTGAAGGGGAAGAAGTGCCAAACTGTGATAAAAAATTGAATAAGTATCAATGTATTCAAACGCAAGAAGGGTCGCCTGCCGAAGACCACAAGTGCCCTGGATTTAATGGACCATCATGATTCCTGCCTTCCGGAACGTAGCCTTCAACACTTCAAGCCGTCCGTATCTAGGCCGTGGGTCGAACCAGCCCTCGGTCGAACGGCCACTTGTCGATGGACAATACATTTTGGAACAGAACTATGCTATCTGAAACCTAACCTCAGATGCGGTGAACGTAAAATTACGTAATTTAACGATGCCCGGGAGTCAGATTCGATCCGCGGCCTTGTGGTGCACGGCAGGTGGTGGTCAAGGCCGGAGGAGGACAAAGCCGAGTGGCGAGTGGTGCGCCGCTGATTGGTGGATATCCGGAGAGATCCGAGGCGTTCGATTCAGGGCTTATTGGTGCACAAAATTGGTGGTGCACGGCTGCGCTCCCCGCAAAGAAACGTGTCAAAATGCTTAAAACAGAGGGAAAAATGTTACGTGTTCAATTTGGCTAATTATTCATACCGCATGCTGTAATCAGAGAATTGCACGTAATTTTTATTCACCAAGCCGGATAAATGCACAGTAAAAACTATTTGAAGGGTTGAGGTGTTGAAGGCCTTATTAGAGGCCTGTTCACCAATCATGGTGATACGTCGTGTTAATTAAGCAACGTGCGTGGTGGGCTCCAACTTCTCCAAGTACGAGTTTAGTGATAGCAGTCCGGGTCGTACTTGGTGGCTAGGTTAGACCAGTGAGCGTCCAGGCGAGACTTGAATGAGTTGACACTGGGGGCGTTAACCACCAGCTCAGGAAGGCTATTCCACACGTTCACCACTCTGACGGAGAAGAAATTCAAGCGTACCTGGCGCCGGCACTGCTCTTTAACAAGTTTCAAACTATGGCCTCTGGTTCTGTCACTGAAAAAATAATTTTTCTGATTAATTTTTCTAACCAACGTTTCTGACGAATAGTTTCATCAAATTTGAAGGCATTCCCCTGTATTTGTACAAAAGAATTTCTGGTATTTTGAGCTAGGCAATCTGGTATTCTCGCCGAGAAAAAAGTTGGCAACAATTGGCCACATGGCAGTACTCAGTAGTACAAGCTCTGCCGCTCGGTTGCGTAGGTAACACCGCGGTCTGTACCTGCTGAATCATAAATGGTGTGAGGCTATGGAAGCATGTGGTCAGTTGTCGGAGTTTTGACCGCATCTCAGTCAAATTTGTTTGGATTGGAATTACAGTTCTCACCGGCATTAAAGTTCTCAATTGTCTGGAGTAACTGACATTATCTGAATCACGAGAAAAATAACGATGGATACCAAGAAAAAGGTTCATAACATTAAGAATGAAAAGTTCTGTTCCGACCGAACATTGAATTGTTTACGCATCACTTTTAGCAAAGATTTTTCTATCAAGCAAGAATTGAGCTTTATTGATTATATAGCTGATTCCTCCAACATTTTGTTCAAAAAGTAAGTACGAGATGATATTATTTATATAGTATTTGTAAGTGAATAGTGATCAGCTACAGCAGAAATAATAATTAATTTTGCAAAATTGATTCTAAAATTCATACCATTTGACTTAAATTTAAGACATTAATAATTGATGCTGTAGCTTTGGATTGCCAAAATGTTTTAATCATTATTCTTATGAACTACCTATATGAAGTTCAGAGATGGGCAGTAGTGCGCAAGTGCGGCGCATTAGTCATGATAGTGACAAACCAGAGATTTTTTAGAATCAGTTCATTTTTAATTTCCTCATTGACTCAAGACTTGAACCAATTTCTTATGTAAGATAATGCTGGTAGCCTGGTATCCATGATACTTTACTGGTCTACTTAGGTATAGGACTCAAAAATGAACTTGAGGGGATTAAATTTTATTTATTTATTATTTCTGATGATCAAATCTTGAATTGGGTAAACGCGGTATATTCCGACACATTAAGGACGCATCGAGTAATGAAAAACTATAAAAAAATAACCGTATGCGTTACGTAAGTTCTGTTGCATTCACATGACTCTCAAAACACTTCACTATGAACAAAACACTTCAGCAACGATTGAAACGTCACAAAAGACACAAAATGTTGCCATATTTATTAAAAAGCCTTTAGAATGGAAACCTACCAAATCCCTATATTCCGTCACTTTGTGTGGCAATATTTGACACGTGGCTGTCTCTTATACACATCTAGATGTGTATAAGAGACAGATTCAATATTTCACCAAACTTGATNACTACTTAATTACGTTTTAATTAACAGCTATTAGGCTTTTAATTAAGCAAATTTCAATTTTTGTACAAAGTTTTGAACGATCTGTGTGTGTCCAATTCAAGTTGTGTCGGAATTAGTTTTCATGTGTCTAAATCCAACATCTCAACTTAATCATCTATTAATTTATTTATGACTTGAAATCAGCGAATACAAGTATACTTAAGGGATTTCTAATATATTCACAGACGTATTTAAAAGTCTCAAACCATAATATTCTTCCTATAAAAACAGTTATTCACTATTTGGTAGAGCCATGTCAACTGTCAAATTTGACACATTTTTCGATGATCTCTCCACGTGGCATGCATTGTCTCTCTTTGGATCTCAATATTTTCCCACTAGATGGCCAAGACCTAGTGTTTTGGCAGTATTTTGACTTGCAAATGCATGACGTCACCATTTCAACCATCAACAAACGCATGGAACTAGAACAAAGCTTAATATAAAGGAAAAGCTGGAGAGGTGACGGAATTACCTACGATGTCGGAATATACCGCGTTTACCCTTGTTAGGCAGCATAAACATGCATGCCAAATTTCAACTTACTAGCTAGTAGCTAGGATGTTTAGAAGTGCTCTAAATTGAGGTTTGAATTTTTGATGACAGACGGACATGAAACGAAGTCAAGAAAAATGTGGTAAAAAAGATTGTGAAAAAATACCTGAAACAGAAAGGAATATTTTAGTGAAACCATCATAATTTTTGGAGAATTGAATCCTAGTTTATGTTAATTACTTTTCATTCTATGTTGCCCAGTGCACAATTCTATCAATGACATTATATGCACAGTTTTGTGATGACCAATGATGCATTAATTTTTAGCTAAATGAAATTTTTTCACTGAGCAAGGTGAATGTAATGAAAATTATTTAATTTTTTCATCAACTGAAGCCTTTGCAAGGTTCTACTGTAAATGCATTTTTAAAGGTGGCCCTTATTACCCCGTCTTGTGGAAATGGCCACGATTTTTGGGAGGGATGAGATTTGCTTTTGCAAATTCTAGTAGTGCAACTTTTATGTTAGCAACATTTTTTAATACGGTGAATATTTTTTTGCTACAGACCTTAGCAGAGGTACGTTTCTAAAATCTCACTTATCACACTTTTTTTCAGGAATTTTTTAGAGGTAGTAAATGTATGATTTCTTAACTTGCTTAGTGCTACATAGATAGTAAAAATGTTGAACTTTATACCACTATTTTTAGTTTTGCAATATTTTGATTAGTTAAGCTGCTAGAACATTTCTATGAAATGTGGGATGACTGTCCCTATTTACCCTGCCCTTCCCTTATTACCCCTTTGGAGGGTATTATCTTATTGTTTTTCTCTGTTTGGAAAATATGACTTTTGATAGGACCTGAAAATTCAAATATCAGGTTTTCAAGGGACATTTTATTCTAATTTATGACATTTCCAATGCAACTACATTCATTATCAAGTAGGTCAAAGAGTTTTGGAACACTCATTGACAAAATTATGTTAATACAAACATCAGGTATCATGAATTGATTGAAATCAAAGCTTGAGTTGCAAGTACAGTTTCAATGTCCTTACAAATCTGGTTTGCAAATTTACAACTGGAGCTTGATGATGAGAGCCTCAGCTATTGTCAGTCTTGTGGTTTTTGGTACTGTCAAACAGGGTAATAAGGGATGGGGGGGGTAATAAGGGACAGTCCTCCAACATTTTGTAGAAATGTCGTAGCAGCTAAACTAATCAAAATATTGCAAAACTAAAAATAGTGGCGTAAACTTCGACATTTATACTATCTATGTACCGTAAAATGGGGTAACTTAGACCACTTTTTTTTATAAATGATGCCATTTTTTTTACTAGCTAAATTAAACTTGAATTGAAACCTGCAAAATACAGGTCTATACTCTAGCTTCACTCACAATAAATTGCTGGCTCCTGCCTCTCTTAGTCTTTATGTAATTTCCAAAAAAGTGATGGTCTTTTTTACCATAGCTCCTGGGGTAACTTAGACCGGGTGGTAAAATCAATTATATTTTTGGTATAATAACTCCAGGTTTTGGTGCATTGTAGTAGAACTCTTCTAGTTACATATGCAAATGACAAACTTGAGGAAAGTGTTATAGTTTGCAAATGGGGGGCACTGCCCCATAATGAGGGAAATGTGACTACCTAATGGCAGCCCTGATGGGGTAATAGTGACTGGCTTGGAAATTAAGTTAAAATTACCATATATAAGACTCTGTAGGGTCTAAAACATAAAGAAAAAACATAAATAGGCTGTCAAACATAAAATATGTTATATATGGTAATTTTATATTAACTTCCAAGCCGGTCTATGTTATCCCATCGGGGCTGACATTAGGTGGTCTAAGTTACCCCATTTCAGGGCGGCGCCACCCATTTGCAAACTACGACACTCTCCTAAAATTTGTCATTTGCATATGTAACTAGAGGAGTTCTACTACAATGCATCAAAACCTGGAGTTATTTAACCAAAAAATAAAAAAATTGGAGGGGGTACTCTGACAGGCTTTGAATAATAGCTTTTTTTCTTGGGTCACATTTTTAATTTTTTAACCTATTAGATATGCAAACTTTTCAAATCTTTCTATTGTGTTATGTAGCCTCAGTATTAGGCCTTTAATGCCCATTGACAAAATTTTTCTATGTCAAATAGTTTTTGAGTTGTGGGGGTTTTTGTTAAAAAAAGCTAAAAGTGGTCTAAGTTACCCCGCTGGTCTGAGTTATCCCATTTTACGGTAGCATAGAGCAAGTTGAGTAATCAAACATTTATTACCTCTAAAAAATCCCTGCTAAAAAGTGTGAAAAGTGGGATTTTGGAAAAGTACCTCTGCTAAGGTCTGTGGGAGAAAAAATATTTGTTGTATGGACAAATTTTTCTTAAAGTTGCACACTGGTGTTGGCTTGAAAACGTGATTGACAGATTTTGCATACCGGTATCTCATTCAAAAAAAAAAAAACGCGGCCATTTCCACAAAACGGGTTAATAAGGGACACCACTAAAATTGCATTTACAGTAAAACCTCATCTAGCGAAGGCTCCAGTTAATGAAACAAATCAATTAATGATAAATAAATTTTATTACATTTACCTCACTCAGTGAAAAAAAATTCACTTAACAAAAAATCACTGCAACAGTCATCACAAAATTGTGCATAGAATGTCATAGATAGAATTGAGCACTGGGCAACAAAGAATGAGAAGTATAGTCAAATGGGGTAAGACAGGATCGCAGCCTTCATGGGGTAAGAAAGGACCAGCCCATGGCGTGCACTCTAATTGCACTGAATTCAATTTTGACAAAAGAATATGTTAGAACAATCATTGCCTGTCATTTCGGTGTTTGTGGCAACCCTCTTCCGCTAATACCATCAACCGGGGCTACTCGGGATGGGCAGGGTAACTCGGGACAGTCCTCCGACATGGCATAAAACTGTTTTAGTAGCAAAACTAATTGGAATATTGCAAAACTAAATATAGTGGCATAAACGTCAACATTTTTCATATCTATGTAGTATAAAGGAAGTTCAAAAATACTACATTTACTAGCTTTGAAAAATTCCTGAAAAAAATGTTGAAAAAGGATATTTTGAAAAGTTACTTCTGCTAAGGTCTGTAGTAAAAAAAGTATTTGCCATATTAAAAAATTTCTCTTAGAAAAAAGTGGCAGACAAGTGTCAGCATGAAAACTTTTATTTGTGGAATTTACATCCCTCAATCCAAAAAAAATGGCGCCATTTCCGCATGGCAGGGCTACTCGGGACACCCCCCTCCCCCAGGGCTATTCGGGACAGACCCCCCCCAGGGCTATTCGGGACACCCCCAAAACGCATTTACAGTAGAACCTCAGTTAGCAAAGGCTCCCGTTCCAAAAAAAATTTATTAAAAACAAAGAATATTGATTACATTTACCTTGCTCAGTGAAAAAAAATGTCATTTAATCAAAGAATTAGTGCATCATTGGGTACATTAATTTTATAAGTGGTCAATCATTCATGGACTAGCCTAAAAACTTCAAATTACTGTGTAGGTATGTATTTCAATGTTTTCTTGCTAAAAGGTTGGCATTGTCAGAAGAGTAGAAATACCGTAGTTCATATTTATATGTATAATGGTATGTACCTACACTTGAATTTTTGAAATAATGTTGCTTCTTGTGAAATATTATATCTAGTTGTTCAGAAAAGAACTTGATTTTTCAGCAAAACATTCACTATTCCAGGCAACTTGATAGTTCCCATTACAAAGAGACTTTGTGTTCTCCAGAACTCTTTGTTTTTCATACACAACATATGATTGTTACCTTTATTTGTCATCTATCTTCCTCCTGACTCTCAGTGTAGATAATTAAATAATTTAGCTGATGTGAACTTACATTGTATAGTTGATTTATTTCATTACAATGAGTGCCATGATTTTCACTTTTCAGAGAATTGTATGCAGTGTGCAAGGATGTTGAGACTGCTGTTGCCCTGGCAGAGAAGCTTAAGCACTGTAAAGCACTTAGCCGCTTGATTAAGAAGGTAGTTCGTCTTGGACCTGCAGCCTCTGCCTTCACGAGTCGATTGAATGATCCAACAGTGTGGGTTTCATTGAAATAATTAGAAATTCTTGAAGCTTTTAAACAAGCAATGAAGTTGATAAAATATAAACTATCAATAATGTTGTTAAAGTGTCTTAAGTGGATGAGGAATTAAATACAGAGTTTAATGTTAGCCTTCAAACTACAATTTCTGTAGTTTTTGTATTGTTGAATCTTATTTCATTTCACTTCTGTTGGATGAGGCTGTTGCCACTCTAACATGTTGTGAAACAAAAATACTATTTAAGTTTTAAGTCAATGTAAATAAAATTTAATCATTACATTTGAGAAACAGATTTTTTTGAAAATTTGTTTGCAGCAGCTAACACTTTATATATAATGTCTTCGATCTTCAATACTGTTGAAAGCTTAGGTTTTAATAAACTGATTGCCTGGAGATGTCCCTAACATGAGAAATCCATCCTCGTCCTTTCTTACTGTTTCTGTCTTGAATTTCATTGTGATATTTTATTCATGATGCATGAAAGCAAATCCATAACAGCCAAAATACACTTATTTCTACAAACGCATATCTCGCTCAAACTCCTGAATACTGTCACACAAAGATGAAGTGTTTAATGACTGATAGGTTTTTTTTAGTTAGGTAGTAATTTTTTTAGTCATGGATCATTTTGCTAAGATGTGGTGCAGTTATGATGATACTATAACTCAGTTTAAAATAAGTTCTTAACATAAATATAATAATTGTTTTAGTATTGATTGCTGTAGGATTTAAAAGAATATCACCCTTCTAAATTTGTTCAGCAATATGTTGTGAACAGTGAATTTGTTCAATTATGTATCATAGATTAATAATGGCTGGAATATTTGGAAGTACATACAGGACCCTTAAAACAGTGTCAAATGTATCAAGCTTTGTATTTTGATTTTTTTGCTTCCATCAGATTGACTATAAGGAAACTAGCTGAAGGCATCACACATCAGGAATTGGCAGTTCGTTTCCCTGAAGCCGATGATATTTGCATTAAAACTACGTAAGTTTGGGAATTTGGTTATTGCAGTTCTCGAGCTTTGTGGTAATTCTTGATTAAATTTACCTTAGGGATTGATGTTTAAAGTATTTTTTTTTTTGCTATTGTGAACCATTTGATAATCATTTGGTGCCTAAACTAATTCAATTATTATGAGTAACTGCTGTAGTTTTGAACTGCTGTAGGATGATCTACTTGATCTACTCACATGAAAAATCTCCTATTACCTTTGAAAGTATTTTCTGCAGAATATAATTTGAGTGATTTTTATACCATTCTTATTGTTTTTAATCTCAAACAGAATGGCAAAACTTAAATTTGATAGCATCAAAACTTGCAAAAAAGTCTACAGGGAATTCAACCAAATTGTGTGGCCAGGAGATGAGAAACCATCTGTCAAAGAAATGGATTTTAATTCACCTTTGGTGAAAGGGCAGCCTCACCCCAAGTCATCTAAAGTGAGTTCCCACACTTGCCAGTGTGCACGTGATTCATAACTAGCAGGTTGACCATCATCTGATTGGGAGAGATATATAATCTATATAATTATCAAAACCACTTTATCATGTTATACTGAACTCTATCATACTTGAAACTGCATCTAGTTCATGTCAAACTAATGAGTTTCAATGGCCTGTTTCAACCAATATGGCACTGAACTCTCATTGAGCTTCTATTATTTTTAGCTTCTCATTTAGCTTCCATTTTACCTGATGTTAAATTTGAGGCAACTTTTCATTTGGTATTTTTTATAGAATTCAACATGTAAAGGTGAAAAATATTTCACCCTCAGGTAATATCATGAAATAACTATTGTGGATATGTGCCCAAACTAACCACATATATTTACAGTGTCTGGTTTCAAACGCACATACAAAAACATTTACTGAAACAAATTAGATTGCACTTGATACCATTATTATTTTGGAAATTATTGTAAGTAATTACTTCTTAATGGGTTTATGCTCCATATATTTTATGTATATCTGTCTAAGAAATTAATTTTATCTTCTAAAATTGTATTGCAAGGTGCAGTTTTTATACTATATAATCCTTGGCAGTTTTCTCTGGATCCAACTGTAGTTCATCTGATCTTGACTACAGACTTCAGTTTGAAGAATCACTGTGCTCTTCTGGACCAGCTGACAACTGCTTCAGACATCATTCTTTCCCAGTGAGTTGATGCCTTTCCCAGTGAGATGTTGACTTTCCCAGCGAATTGATGCCTTTCTCAGTGAGTTGTTGACTTTCCCAGTGAGTTAATGCCTTTCCCACTGAGTTGATGCCTTTCTCAGTGAGTTGAAGCCGTTCCCTGTGAGTTGTTGACTTTCCCAGTGAGTTGTTGCCTTTCCCAGTGAGTTGAAGCCGTTCCCTGTGAGTTGTTGCCTTTCCCAGTGAGTTGAAGCCGTTCCCTGTGAGTTGTTGCCTTTCCCAGTGAGTTGTTGCCTTTCCAGTGAGTTAACGCTTTTTCCAGTGAGTTATTGCCTTTCCCAGTGAGTTGTTTCCTTTCCCAGTGAGTTGTTGCCTTTCCCAGTGAGTTGTTGCCTTTCCCAGTGAATTGTTGCCTTTCCCAGTGAGTTGTTGCCTTTCCCAGTGAGTTGATGCTTTTTCCAGTGAGTTGTTGCCTTTCCCAGTGAGTTGTTGCTTTTCCCAGTGAGTTGTTGCTTTTCCCAGCGAGTTGTTGCCTTTCCCAGTGAGTTGTTGCCTTTCCCAGTGAGTTGATGCCTTTCCCTGTGGGTTGTTAGGCAACAGCAGCAGATAGTGGTTCTCGAGGCTGTTAGAGGTCTTTGTAGCACTGAGAAAAAAAAACGGCCCATAAACATAGAATTATTTTTCTATACATGCTGATCCAGTCATGCATTTGTTTCTTAGAAGGCCATCGTTTTTCAGGGAGTGTCGTGTGACGTTCAGCGATGCCAGGGATGTGTTGAAAAGAATGGAAATACTCAAAGATGTGTCAGTGATGGGAGAGAAGCTCTCACTTGTGCCCTTCTTGGGCTCTTTGGGTAAAGTCGACAAGAAGAGACCATGTACAGAAATGGAGGGTGCCAGTACCAATGACCTAAAGCAAACGTCAAAATCGAAGAAATCAAAGGTGGGTTGACATTGAGCTACACTTCATATATCTTTTCTAGCATCTTGATTCTTTGTATACAGTTAATTATTTTATTGACCAGGCCTTAAGATACGCATTGCATTTATGACGGCTGATGAATGGTTAAATAACGCTTCGAATGAATTAACTTGACGCTCTTCCATCCCTAGAACCTAGATTTGGTGTGCTTTGTTTCTGAGTAGACCGCATGGCAGTGAGTGGCCTCTTTTCCGTCATAGCTTAACAAATTTCACATGGTGGTCCTAGTTTAATGGTACTATAAAGCTGTATTGATGTACATTATTAAGTAATTTCAGTTTGAATCGCTTACTTTTATATTGAAGATCTCCCAAATTATTGTGGACTTGATAACTGTTTTGACAGCTAAAGTCATCGTTTTTTTTTTCGACGGGCCATTTTGAAACTGGTGATCACTCTCCAGATGCTCTTCTCCTCGATACATATCGATGTTTTGGATCTGAGATAAAGATGTCAATTTCTAATAACTTGTATTACAAATTCTTACCAATGCATTATGGCAGCAATAAGTTCCATGTCCACCAGAGAAATATTGTGGAACTTCCATACTCTATAGTAAATAATAGTATATACAAAATGGTTTATCTTCCTTTTTCCAGACTGTCTCCAGCGCCGGAAAGAAGTTGCAGCAAGCTCGAACTGTTGCTGCCGTCTGAAAATGAACATTTTATTATCTGTGTCCTGTAATTTTCCTTCTGAGAAAGAGATGTTCCGGAAATATTATGGTATTAAATTCCTCAAGTATCAAGCTGAATGCATAAACTGACATCTTGAAAGTAAAAAATTGCTATCGCGTTTCAGCTCACTAATAGAGGAAGAATTGAAAACGCGTGTCTTCCAGGGTGTTCCCCATTTTCTGTAATCCCAGACAATACGGTTTCTGTAAGAAAACCGGTAAACATGCAGTATGTTATTACACAACACAAGTATTAAATTACTCAGCGATGTTCATTATTATGAATGTTTCAAATGTGTACAAAAAACATTAAAGGTACCGTCATATCTTCAAACGGTGAGAAGACTTCGCGAAACTAAACTCCGTACTAGTTCAAATGTAGCGTTCACGACAAAGGGGTTTGGTAAAACCTCGTCAAACAAGCTCCTAATAGCTCGTTAAAGTTTTAGATGTGCGATTAACTGGATAAGATCAGTGGACAAATATCAAGAGCCCAGCGGATAACGAAAATTTGAAAATTCTGTTCTACCTCTAAAATTAGAAAATTAAGAACATTGTTATGAATAATAATCCCTGTAAAAAATGTGGGCTGCTTTAAGAAACTAATGCTTTCATGTAATATAAATGGTTATAGACTTCTTCAAAATATATACTTCAAAATAAACGTATTAAGGTTGTGCTACTACGACTAAAGTAGTAGCACAACCTTAATGCGTTGAGTGCGGCACCACCCACCGTTAGGTTGCAGTGTCTATTTTTCCGGACAAATTCCGCGCTTTAGTTTTCTCAATTGCTTTCTCGACAAAAATTTAGGATGGCTGTACCATGATTAAACTAGTATAGGGTTGACCCATGAGAAGCTCATTTTTGCGGATGCAGTTTGCTGTTCGCCTGTGATGCCACTGATTGCAAAGACGTCCCGGGCATTAACCAATCACTGAGATCAGTGACGTCAAAGGCTAACAACGAACTACATCCGCAAAAATGAGCTTCTCTTGTGTCAACCTGATAATAGTTAATCCATGGTTTGGCGGATGTAGTTCGTTGTTCGCCTGTGACGTCACTGATCTCAGTGACGTGTCGGGCGTTAACCAATCACCGAATGCGATCAAACCAGTCAACCAATCCGCCATGGGAATGACGGGTTTGTTTACGTTTCTCGATCTCAGTGACGTAACAAAAAAGCTAAATTGAAAGACGAAACTTCTAGTCGTCTCGTGAAAGACGACCATGTATAGTTCAACCACGGCCGCCAACAACACGCATTGTTCAACAATAATTCATGTTCGAAATTAAATTTAGGAGTTGAACTCGTTCTTTCCTTCCAAATAGATGCTCTTGTTTGCCATAGCGGAGACGCTGATTTTCTTCCTATCGTTAGGGCAGGGTGGCCCAGTGGTTACAGTTCACAGTACGAAGAGAGGCGCGGGTTCGATTCCAGCTCTGCGCGCCAGTTTCTGGTCAGAATCGGTAAGTAGGCCGGGCGGTTAAGCACAGCAGAATTGCAGCAGTGAGTTGCGAGTTCAAGACCGCAAAATGCTGTGAATGTTCTGCGATGTTAAGAATCGGCGACGCTGAAACCGCTATTATTATTATCCGCTCTACCGGATTACGCTTCCAATTTGTAGAAAATATATACTACTTGCTTTCGTTAAGGATCACTAAATAACATGAGCACAGGTGCAATTTTCACAGAAAATAATGTTAAATAAAGTAATTTTCGCTTGCAAAACTTTTACTGTCCCAGCGCCGCATTCAGCGAGCAGTCGCAAATGAATATATTATGATGTTGCGTTTATGAATAGAGTTGTACCATTATATTAGTACGTCCATGCAGCTATAATAAATTATTGATCATTTCTAAAGCTTTTATTACACTTAGAAACAGTAATTATCTGTAATTGGGACGTGATATTCACTTGACCAGATAGAGATTGATGACATGAGTCAGCATCTGGAAGACATCACATGATAGATCACACAATTAATACCTTAGTTGTAAGCGGGAACAAAGGCTATATAAGAGCTAGTAACCTTAAGTAAGGCACCCCGCAGTAGTTGAAATGCGCTCCTCGCGTAATACGTCGGTTGAGTTCTTCGACCTTACGGTCGACGCCGTAGCTTATGCCTCTGTATCGCAACTCTAGTTTAACCACCCCGTATATAAGATGTGTTATCTGGCACTTGTATCTTATTTATCCTTCACGACCTTAGTCACGTAACCCGATCCTCATGTAGAGCTAATGAGCACGGACAAATGGCAGAAATTTGATAGCAACCTAATATTTATGTATGCGTTCTTATATATTCTTATTTGAATGCTGAAATGAATTCGATTTTTAGAGGTAATGTCTGAAGCAACAAACTGTAAATTTATATAGATTCTCTCTTTCCGATGTATCTTGGAGTGTGAGTTTTGAACTGTTTTAACTGTAATAATGTAGTTGTGCTGCATGGGATTTGAGACATTTCCAAGTAAGCTCAAAACCGGGACTGATTGGAACGTTTTCAGTTCTTTTATATAATTATATACATTTCTGCATTGTACAGGTTTTTGTGAAGTTACATGATAAATAATGAAGTAAGTTGAAAAGTTCTCCCATAGCGTTCAAGTTCTGTACTGTACAGTTCAAGTTCTGTTTGTGAATGTGTTACAATTATTTGTAGTGTATCAGAGCACAAGAACAGTAGAGCTGTTCAAGTTCCGTTACTGTACAGTTCACTTTACTGTAGACATTCATTTGACTGAATTTGTTTGCACATAACTTCTTCTGAATTTTGCCCGATAAAATCTAGTGAATCTGGTAATAGCACAATCATTCTTTGGTGTAGCATTCAGCACAGATAGTGAAAACTTTTTTTTCAATGAGACTAGTTTCAATGAGACTATTCAGCAATAATATTTACTTATATTGTGCATCTTAAGTACTTCTATTCACCATATCACTATATAACTCCTACTGGGATGACATGAATCATCTCGCAAGAATAGTTCGGTAGAATTTATTTCGGAACTGATAGAAGATGAATCGGCCAACCAAATGAATTATGATATTTTCTTTATTAATATTGAAACATTTTATTTGTCAGTGAACCCGAGGACGATTTATTTAGTTAGACACGATTTTTCCACGTTCCATGAGTGGTTTTTGACATTTCAATTAAATAACTGTATGTATAATGAGGCCTTCTAGAAGCCAGCGGTTCTACGAATCACCGGTTTCCTGTTTATTGTTTCTGCAGGGCAATACTCGCAGCTTACACAGAGCATGCGAGAAAAAATGTTCAGGCTCGTACTGTCGGAGCTGAGTAACATACACTTTGCTCTCGTGTTGTCGGCAGTGGGTGTCATATACCATCAGGTCTCGCACTGTCTGGTGTTTGGTGACGCTCCCTAAAGGCTACGTCTATATGTCCCTATTTCCAGCGTGTAGCGTGAACGAGCCTGTCAACTGTGAGTGTAATGTTACTCATCACCTGCGACAACTACAGAAGTGCCTCGACTATACCATAAGCGCAGTGACTTCATGTGTTTAATTAGCGACTTCTGTGTAGTCTGTCGGATTTCAAAGGCAATTTTTGCCCTCTACAGCAGAAAGTCAACTTTCGTACCATCATTCCTCAATTACAAGTTTATTGGTATTTTAGAAGAACCCGCAATAAATACTGCCTGAAGTTACGGTGGACTACCATAAATAGTGATGGTAAGTAATCCATATTGCAGTGTTAGCATTACTGCAAGATAGATTTATTTTGTGTCTTCGTTTAAATACATTCACTGATAATTAGAGCGAATTTCATCACTGTTCACCGTCATTAATCTACTATTTCACGTTTTCATGAACTTCGCTTCATTAGCCGTTCTATCGAATAACAGAAAGACTATTTTTTAAGGGGGTGAAGGATGTCTTATCGAATCCTAAGATCTAATAAGTAGATTGACAACAAAGACAGGTAAATAATAAAAGACTAAACGTTCTCAATAATGCTTTTTATTGCTCCTTCGGCGGAAATTCGATAAATAAGACTTTCTTGACAAAAATCTATTCAAAAGTTGACTCAGCAAACTGGCAGAGATTTAGTGGGATCGACGCAAGGAAAGGCACGTTTGTTCCCGTCGCATGGCGCGGTTTTGAGTAGAGGAAGACCACCCTCGTTATATTTATCCATGTACGCGCACTCGGTGTCTACAGGAGTTCTGCCCCAATCACTCGCAGCCACAGGTTTGTTGCTAGGAACATGGACCCAACTTCCGTTGATTCTTCGTATGTTTACCCAAAATTGCTCAACGTCTGAAAAATAAAAAGTTATACTTCAACATTCTCCCAAGCAATACCCATTTCATTTATAAATCAGACAATTTATCAGTTCTAATGGTACATTATGATTTCATTGATCAAATGGACATTCAGGTTAATTTTTAAATCTAATTTCAACTAACTTTATGCCAAAAACTCTTTTGTTTAAAATTAAACGATCTCGTTAATCGGAAATTTGGAGTAGATTTGGTTTATAAAATTCAAGTCTAAATTTCCTTAGTTTAGTTTGTACTGCATCATTTCGATCGATCAGAAAAACCTGACCTTATTTGAAGTAACTTTATTTCTGGAAGGCATACTTATTATTCTGCCCTTGTGAATACGGGCATACTGAGGAAAATTGTTAACATATTCAATAATGAAAATAATTTTAATCTCGATCTAAAAACGACTTTAATTTAGTCATTAGTCGCTTATCACATACACTTCATTTATATTTCACTATCTTGCTATCTTAATCTATTTTCACTCTTTTTCTATTGAAAAAGAGCGGGGATCCACCTAGAATTTTTTACGTTATATAAAACATTCTACCTCATTCGTGCCAGCACATATATGTATATATTTCTAAATTTGGTAATAAAGTTACAATCAATAAATTTGCACACAATCGTCAGTTTAATTAACCATGAATGTATCACTGAATTTAAAACCGATGATGGAGCTGGGCTCCGAAGCGTTTTCAATGAAAATATCGTGAATTTACAGACATTTTCTTTTGCATTAAATTTTTAGTTAATTTGATAATTAGGGACCGAATGACAATAATGTTTCTGACTTGGATCCTGTTGACTGATGATATCCAGTATGTCGTTGAGCTTCGCTTGCGTGTCAACCTCGGCCAGGAGCAGTCCATGGTAAGCGCAAACGGCCACCGCATCACAAAAGTATTCTTTTCTAAATACGTTGCCGCACGCTGGGCCGCAGCCGCAAAAGTGAACGCAGGGGGACTTGGTGTTGTTGCAGCAGTGTAGCGTTTCCTCTTGAAGATTTGTTAGCACAGTCCCACCTAGGACAAATGTTTATCAATATCAATTGTCAGAATTAAAATGCGACTTCGGTTCCTAATGAGCAAAAATTCTAGTACGAATTTAAGGCCAATATCGGAGAAACTTCTTCAAATCAGCTTTGAAAATATCATTTTCTCCACAATTTTTGACATGACGTTGAGTTGAATGAAAGAATTTAAACTCGAAAACTATGGCCTAGACTTCATTGATATTAAGCTTCTCGTTAACTAGTAATTTTATAGGAAACGACGATCTACACGAGAATTCGATTGAGCAGCGATAAAGATCACGTCATCTTTTCGAGAAAAAGAGTTCAACATTGAATGTCTGGACGTATGGAATTCAATATTATCACAATGCAAACTTCTGTGCATAAAGAAGCGAGTTAAACTGAATGTTCTAACTTCGAGATATCTAAAATAGACGATTAGTACACCGCTGCTACAGACTGTTGTAGTCATTATTGATAAACTACTGATTCTTTGGAGTAGAGATTTTTATAATACTGATTGATGCATTACTGTACCAATTGCACTGGTTCACAATTTTTATTATTCGCGACTCTTTAATTTCTTTTATGCGGGAAAATTTCAATACTATTTTTAAAAATTGCAAATTTAGTTTTCTCACCTCCGCTTACTACGCTGCCTGCAGCACAGGTTGAGGTGCAATTTCCGTCGGTTGTGATCCTCTCACCGTCCAAGAACGCGCCCAGGGAGGTGAAGCAAGCCGTCGTTGCTGAGATATCAGAACAAACGAGCATATTAGGAACGCAGCCACACTAATTTGAGGTTGAATTCGTATACAAAATATTCAACCTATTTGACAAGAAATAGTTTGCGTTTTATAAGTGGATATGCATTGAATAGTATTATGTGACAAAGGTTCGTATAGTATATGTGACAAAACAATAGTTTCAAAGGTTTCGCAAATAAATAACAAAGGTTTCTCAAATAGTATTATGTGACAAAACAATAATTATTTTAGAGCTGGGGAACAGTATGATTGCGTAATGGCCTTTCGTGAACAATATTGACTGTATGTAAAGCCACAGACAATTTGATAAGAATACTGGGGTCGTACTATAAAAAATAGTTGAGATTTCGTAACTCCGTCAGCCAATCACTGATGAATTTTTAGTCGCTACGTGCACTTTATGCAAGTTTTGATAGTACGGCCCCATGACAGCCCTGCTACTCACTATTGCTTAGAACGTAGACCGTCTCTCCAGTACACGAGGGCTGGCTTGGGTCGTAGATTCCCTTCGCGGCCACCTTGCAGGTGCCGCCGCTGTACTTGAACATGAGTTTGCCTGCAAAGAGGAATGAAATTAGTGTTCGTGATGTGCATGAAGAAGTAAGCGTATTTCTTTAGGTATTTTACTCTCAAAAATGAAGCAACCTATAGACTATTTTCTTAAAATTGCTAACATTCTAACTGAAATTAGAATTGTCGCTTGATTTGAGTGGACTAAACGATGAAAAAAGGTTTTATTTGTACACAATTGAATTCTTCACAAATTTACTGCAAACAAATAGAGCTGCTTAATATTTTCAAAAATTAAATGATATAACATAACATAACATAACATAGTGATGTCGGCTCTGAAGTGTAGGCCTGATGTGGCCTGTCGCCGATTCTTTTCCATTTCGTGCCTTGTTCATAGTCATAGATCTAAACTCGTGTCATTTGACCGGATCTTTTCATGACTGGCGATAGTTTGAAGAAGCTACTAGACTTCCACCGGGTTCGATAAGGAGCTAGGCATTTCAAATCTGAACATATATTTTTCCATAGCTTTATCTCGTCTGTTCT